ATAATTAAATATTTCCTGCTATGTGCTCCCAAAGGACTTTGTTTAGGTCGCATTTTATGAATTTATCCTCCTGAACTATAATTATTGCATATTCATCGTTTTCCCCTGAATTATGAATTTTTAATGGCAAGAACCCTACCACATTTATTAAGTGTTTAGTTAATGTTTGTTTAAAAAGTAAAATGAGTTTTTTTCAAAAGAAGAATCCCTCAATAGGCATCTAATGAGGACAACAAGGTCAAGAGTGTAGGAAGGATTTCTAGTTGTCTGAACTTTAGAGACTTTTGAGAAGAATAAAAGAATGGAAGGTTCAGGTGGGGTGGTCTTAACTTCAGAACAAGAACTTTTAGGTTAAACAGAAAAGGTCTTTGTTACCCAGGGAGCCAGAAGGCATGAGAAGCTGCATAGAGAACAGAGCAGGTGCAAGTCTTGGCTCTAAATACATGGAAAGTGGACATACACACAGTTTGTGCCCAAGAGAGGAGGGGACCTAGATGCCTCACCTGGAGACGTTAGTAAGAAGGCTGTGGCTCTCCAGGGAGCCAGATATCCATATCATCCAGAAATTTCACATGAACAGACATGGTAGTGCAGTGCAATGAAGGACCAGGATTAAAATGTGCTGCCTTAGGAGATATGTTGGGGAAGTATCGTGGATTGCCATGGATTGCCAGTTTCTGCAGGTAAAATGATGTAATGAGCAGCGTCCTGGGGCTAGGAAAGCAAGTCTCTGCAATAAATAAATGCAGAGGGCAAGAATAAGAAATCATAGTGCTGCTGCAAAATCATGAGATAAGGCGTGTCGAAAGGCATTGCAAAAACTGTCACAGTGTGCAAAGCACTGTCTTTGAACATTTCCATAAAAATGGGAAAGAAGATCTCTAAAGAGGTATGAAGTTTCTAAAAACGTTTTATTTCCTTCCTATTTGTCACCCTCATCGCCACTCCACTTCAAACACACATTCATACAACACACACACACACACACACACACACACACACACACACACACACACACACACACATGCTGACTAGCAATCAGTCCCTCACAATGGCAAAGCCTAGGCACTGATAGGAGAAATCAGAGGGGAAGATTCAGCTGGCCTGGAAGGGAGGTGCCTCGGCAGCAGGACACAGGCAGCTGTTGCTGGAGGTAAAATATCAGGCTACACCTCAGAAGACTGCAGCAGGAGAGAAATAAAGGAATGGGCAAGGGAGCCAGCCAGAGGGACCACGTGTCACCCTTCACACTGCCCCTCTCTGAAGCATCCCCACCTCCCACAGTCCCACCAGGAGGCAGGCAGAAGGACCCAGTGACTTCCAGCCTGAGCAACTGTTGGTAATTAGAGCCATTGACACATACTCAGAGATAGAACTTTGGAGAGCTGCAGGAAATTGGAACTAAATCACTCTAGTCTGAAAATAAGGTATAATCAAGGAAAAATAAACAAAGGAACTCTTTTCTTTTCTCTTGTTTCTTTTCTTTTCTTTTAGAAAGCCCACACACACTGCTCTCACTTCTAAGGGATAATCCCGTGCTTGGGATAGTTCTCTGAAAAAGTCACACTATCTTAGCAAGTCCCAGGAATGTTTCTTGGAGAACTGTGAAGGACATCTTGGCCTTTTCTTGAGGATGAGGGAGCAGGAGCCCCCAGCTACAAAGAGTGGCAATCCACTTTGAGGCCTTCAACCCTCTCCATTCCTTCCCCTTGGCCTCCAAGACTCTTGGGAACACATTGATAGCAGGTATACCAAACTGAAATGTATAGCCTGCTTTTCATTTGGCAGCTCTATTGTGTTATGATGCTCCATTGTGAGAAGCAGCAAAAATTTATTTAACTATGATAAACAATTTTCTTCTGCAATAGGAAAGCCAGACAGTAAAATAACCATTATTCCCCCAGTGCCAGCTCAGCCCCCATGACCAGCCCCTCCTCACACTCTTCCCCAGAACTCTCTCAGCTCCTGCCTTCTCAGAGGCCCACAGAAAAGCAGTCAGGGAGAGAGGCCGGTGCTCTCAGCACCATCTCTTCTGACCTAACAGAACAACAAGGTCACTCCCAACACTGATTTTATTGTTTTTATGATAACAGCAGAAATCATTGAGCACCTACAAAATCCCAGGCACTGCATCGTGTATCCCTAACCCAAGAACAATGTTGCATGATGGCAAGTCTATGTATCTTCCCTATGTTATATGTGAGAAAACTGATGTCCCAAGGTGAAAAATAATGTTGCTAGGGTTTAACGGTTGACTGGTAAAGCAGAAATTTAACCTAGATTGTCTAATTCCAAGGCCTATATATTTTCCCTGATTTTAGCTGCTTTTAATTTTGTGCACCAGTGTAGTATGTAGCCTAACCTGTTGGAAAGCCTGGAACAATGGGTGGAGGTCTCAGGTACCGCTGCCAGCCTCTGTGGGAACATCTGTCAGAGAATGTTTTTAGAGAGAAGTCCAGAAATACCTGGGAAACTCTAGCTTCTGCTCCCAAGCCCAGAGAGGGAAGTCCAGCCTCGGGGGCAATGCTGTGACCAGCAAGGAGGTTGGAGTTCTTCACCCAATTTGTGGAGAAGCGCTTTTCCTAGCACTCCATCAGGGTGGTAGCCCCAGAATCACATCCACTCCAAATTATCATATTCTCTGTATTTGATAAAGCAGATGAACCCTTACAGGGTCTTGTCCATTCTTTTTAGAATGGCCAAGATAAGAATAGAAAGATAGGACAGTGCAATTTCTAACTCAATAGAAAGTGAGACTCCCAGCCCCACTCTACTCACACAAGTCAGCCTGGCCCTCCAAAATCACTCCTATGCAGAGCCCCAGGGTTCCAGTTCCTGCCCCTCTCCTCCCCAAGGAGGACCAGAGCCAATCAGAGTCCCAAAGAGCTGGAAAGCTTGACCTAGTTGTCAGTGCCCATCACAGCTACTCTGACTGCTGCCTGCACACAGGGAAGTATGGTGCAGTGGGAAGCCAGGTCTGAGACTTTGATTGAAACACTGATTTCTTCAACAATTATTGATTGGCTGTCTACTGTGGACCAGACTGGTGATATTAAGATACAGAGTAAATAAGTCATAGTTCATCCCTCCAACAGTGGGAAGAAACTGAGACAATGATGTGGCCACCACAGGATGTCATGATAAATGCCAGGACCAGGGTAACTACAAGGGCCTCAGGAGCAAAGAGACAATAGCTCACCAAGTTGTCATGCTCAGGGGGCTTCCTTAAGGAGGTGACATCTGAGCCAAGACTTGGGGGGCTAGTAGCAGTTAACTTGGGGGGCAAGCTCGGGGTCATGGAGATGGCAACATTCAGTTAGACAACAAAATCATGTAGAGTGTCTACTATTTGCCCCAAACTGAAAAGATCGCTGTTCTCAGGGAGCTCTTGCACAAAGAGAGTGATAACAAAAAATTAACAAATGAATAAGTGAGAAAACTTCAGACAAAGATAAGAACACTGAAGACAAGACAGAGCAATAAGAGGCAAAAGGTAGGGACTAGGTACCCATATTTGAGATGGAAGTCAGTGAAAGGCTCTCTGAGGAGGTGGCACATAAACGGAGAGCTGTGTGATGAAATATGCCAGCCATTTGAAGATCTAGGGACAGATTGTTACAGACAGAGGAGACAACAAGAGGAAAAGGTCTTGAGTCAAGAATGACTTTGAGGTTTCACAAAACAGAAAGATCATTGCGGCTGGAGCATCAAGATCACAGGAGAGTTTTAGATGAGGGCAGAGTGAAGGAAGGGACCAGATCATGTAGTGGCTTGCAGGCAAGGAGTTTTGTTTTCATTCTGAGTGACTTGGAGGAAATTAAGCAACAGACTTGATCCAATTTGTTTTTACAAATGCCCTCTCACAAATGCAAAGACCCAGAGACTAAGAGATCATACCTCTTTGGGAAGCTGGAAGTGACTGAGTACAAGCCAGGGGACAATGCAGTGTAGACACGAATTCACTTTCTACATGGGCTGAAGACTAAACCCTGATTCTAGGCACAGAGCCCCAGGAAGATTGCTAAATCTCAATCTGAGCCACTGACTCCTGACGCAGAGCATCCAATTAGCCTGGACCCCATTCAGAGCTCACACCCCAAACAGAGCTACAGTGTGACCCCCTAATTACAAACTGAGCTTGGACCACAGTACCAACCCGGAACTGGCCCTGTTCACACACCAAACCCCAATCTATTTCTAGCCCAGTTCCAACCCCATCTGTTCTCTGTCCCTTTTCATCTTCATTTAGGCCATCTCCTGCCAGGCTCTAGCTGGGCATCCCATAAACAGATCACTGGAAAATTGCTTGAAAACTACCATCTGTGCTTCCCTTTACCACACAAACATAGAAATTGCTGAGGCTGTCTGTCATGTGAGTCAGGGGCCACCTTCATATCCCCAGCCCCACCCCTAAACTTCTGGTTCTTCAGTCTGATTTCTCATTCACTCAGCAGATCTGATGGGAGACCCCTAGCTACAAGCAGCCCTCATGCCCGGATGTATCCCTGCTTCCCTGCACTCACCTTAGCTGCACTGCAGGAACCTGTGCCCTTTTCTCCAGTACTTTTCCAGCAGAGGTCTGGCAGCTACACTGCAGAGCAGCCTCTCTGTCTTTGCCCCCTCCTTTGGACCTCTCTGATCAGGGTTATTTATTTGTTCCCTGTCTTATCTCCTCCTCCTTCTGCTTCTCCCTGCTGCGGGGAGGAGTACTGCCCAGAGGGTCTATCAGCAGGTACCCTTCATTAAACAACCATGGATCCTGTGTCCTTCTTGGCTTCTGTGTCCGGGGAAGGTATGCCTGGGGGATGGGGAAGGAGGGACAGGAAAGAGCTGAGATCCCTAGAGTCCTCCTCAGATGGGCCCTGCGCCAGTTCCAAATGTGAAGTTAGACAGGGGAAATGAGGAAGGGAAGGCTACAAAAAAAACTCATTTGTGTGTCCTTGGTCTTTGTGAGGGGCTTTTCTCCATGTTTCTTCTGAGGTTCATCAAACTCAGCCAGAGGAAAGGCTATATATGCTTTAAGAGAGACCCCATGATTAAGTGCCAGCTCATCACCTTCCTGAAGCTTTCTCTGTCCTCCACCTTCTTTCCCTTGGTGGCACCTAGTTGGGTCCTTACTAAGCCTAATGGACCCATCTGCCTTCCCCCAAAGCTCATCTTCTTTGTCTCCAGCCTTTGGGTCCTGCGTCTAGCTAACTCATACCAGTGGTCGCCAGGGACCATGCCTCTGCCTTCTTTAGTCTTGGGTTTCTGTATGTCTGGCTGAGGAAGGAGGCTGTGATTTCTTTAATTCTCCCCTAACCCCAACACCAGCCATATAAGACCAAGGACATCTGCTTTCTCTCTTCAGGACAAAAATAGCGAGAGAACATTTTAGGGAGTTGGAGAACAATTTGAATGTGAAAGTAAATACCTTACATATTTAAATAAGTTTTAAAAAAACATGTCTATAAATAAAGCCAAGTGAATTCTAGTTGATTTCTTCTTACTTTTTCTTGACTAATTTTACAATTTCAAGTTTTAAATTCACAACACAGGGTGTGCTGACTTTAAGCTGTGCACAAACAGATAGTGTCATTTCAACTCAGACCACATCAAAACTCAGGAATACAAGAGCTCCGAGTACCTTCACACCTGCAGCCGGACACTTGTCATCACCCTTGAACCACCTCTCATTTAGACTTACACTGTGTGAAGACTTTAAAAATACCCCAGGAACTTCCATTGCTGGCCAAAGTGGAGTAAGAGAAAGTAACATTCACCCAAAGAGACCTAAAGTGGACAATACATATAAAACAATGGTTTGTGAGATACTGGATATCAGGCAACGAAGGACAGTGAGCCCTGAAACATGGGAAACACGTGAGGTGAACCTGTGGTTCATCAGTTCACAGCCTTGAGAGAGTTTTCATGCTGTAGCACAGCAGCGGAGACCCCAGGCAGAGGACACCTGAACTTGAGGCTATGGAGCTGAGAGTTCAGGAAGACCAAGCTAGCTAGAATTTGAATGCAGAGGATTAGAGATGAGAGATCTACACAGAGAGAGAACTCCAGAGATATGTAGAGGGTCCTCCTTAAAAATTCAGCTGAATACTGATCAGCACATGCATGGGAGCAAGCTGGGGAAAGTTCCACCAGAAAAGCTTAGATGTCGCATATCCCGTGCTCCCTTAGGGTCCACCATAGTGACTTCAGCCAGACAAGAAAACTCTAAGATTCATGACATAATGAGTGGAGAATACGAAATGATCTTGCCTCAGAAGTGAGAATATTGAACCAAACTCTGTCTACAATATAATGTTATGTTTGGATCATAATTGATCATTAATAGCTGCAGAAAGTACTTTGTGGACTTTATAAAATAGCACAAGTCAAACTAAGGACTATAATTTATTGAGAAGAGAAGAAGAGATGAGTGTGGATGGGGGAATAAGAGAGAATTTGTTTATGTAAAGTGAAGAAAGCGTTCAGCCTTTCCCTCTCTCCGAAAGGCCCCAGCCCCACAGCCATTGAGCACCTATATGCCTGGTGCTGCAGATACAAAAACCTAGTCCTTGTCCTCAAGGGGGACATACAACTACCATATGGATATTTAAGTTCTATAACAGAGGATGAGCAAATGGTTACATAACTATTTAAGCTCTGTGACAGAGCGGTAAACATCCAGTTGGAATATAGAGCGCTAATTTTATGATAGAGGGAAGCACAGAGACTGTGGGAGCGTGAGGAAGCCTTTAATCTGGTGAGCAATTAGCCGTTTTCCAACAGGCAACAGTTACTGCGGTTACCACCCGTTATTTAAATATAGAGATTCTAGGAGACTCAGAGATGTCCCCAGATCTCCTGAGAAAGAAGGCCATGAGTTCGTCTAAAACCGGGGACATTGCAATATAGATCAGGGATGAGCTCTGGCCTTTGCACAGAATGTGGTTATAAAGAGTGAAGATGACTATACTTTTCAATGTTTTCCCCCATAATAAAATAAGCATATCTTATTTTATTCACTTTATTATTTAAAACTACAGCAGGTCCTCAAATAATGTCATTTTATTGAACATCATTGATGTTATAATAATGTTATAATGTTGATGAGATGCTGCAGGAACTTAAGTCTTGCTTATATCAATTAGCCTGTAGTCAAATCCATTTCATTTCAAGCGTTTCACTTAAAGTCACAAGATCTATCAATGACTTAAAGTGAGGAATGACTGTATTGGCACCAACATTTATTGATCACTTTCTATTTTCCATGTGTTTTCACATCTATTATTCTATTTAATCCCACAACCACCCACAGGAGCTACAGTATGTTTCTGTTTTACAGTGCTTATAGTTTCCAAAATTACTGAGGTTCAGTAAGCTAAGTAACATGCCTAAATATCAAAGCTAGTGATCCTAACCTAGATGGCATCTCATTTTAACCCCACAATATCTCTTTTCTTGATATATATATCAACCACATTTAAAGGAACTTCTTGGCAAGGTTATGCTTCCATTGAATTGCACTGGTAAATTTGAATTTCAAAGGGAAATGAATTTCAACTTCTATGAAAACAATTTATTAATAAATAAATAAAAAGTTGTTTTAATTAATGACAATAAGTCAGACCAAACTGGTGATGCACAATTCTGAGGCACCATTCACAAAGCCCCAAGGTGGATGTTTCCTAAAGCAATAAAACAAACATGAATATAATAGTTTATTGCACATTTATAATACTTGGCAATTTATAAAGGATGTTCATAGTATTTGAGCTTTACAACATCTATTATAGTTGCTATTTTAGTTTCTCATTACACAGAAGAGGAAATGAGATCCAGGATGGTTATATAGTATACCACTTCATGATATTTTCAGGATTTTAACCTCATAAGTACTACTTTAGTATTCTTTCCTCTGCTTCAAATGGACCTACATTGTTTCCTTCACTGTGAACATTTTTTAAATTTTGTTTATTTTTTATTTTTTCATCAATGTTAACTTTTTTTATTTCTAGGAGATGCCAGAGCCTTTACAATGTCTCATATTGGTGCCCCCCAACCCCTGCCCCAAAGGATTGAGAGAGCCTCCCTAGAACCAATGACATTTAAACATGTTTGATAGACCAGCAAGAAAGGGAAGGGAGAGGAGATGATACTGGGACCTGATATTGGGGCAGGAGGCCAGGGATTTAGAGAGATCAATACCTCAGGAAGAGCAGGAAGTGTGGGAGGAAAGATGGGAAGTGGTAACAGAAGCACCTAAAATCCTGCAATCAGGAAAAAGAAGGTGTGGTCTGGCCTATGAAAAGATGTAAAGAGGAAGCAGTCTCCTTTCCTATCACTTCCAGAGGCTGAGCCATACCCATGCTGAGCCCAGACCACGAAACTGGGCCTTTGAGATTGCTCTCAGATTTGGAAATTACTTCCATAACCAGGACCTTAACTTCCTATTGCCACCCCTAACATAGAGACATCATTCGATAATCACTGCCCAGACACACAGTTAGTGTACTCATTCTTGTGCCGTATAATCCACACCTACCACACAAAGGAAATGTGTCCTGTGGACAGTGGGTGGTGAGGGCCTGGGGCGAGGGGCAGAGGTGGGCTGGAGGGGGTTGGTGGGCCGGGGTAAGGGGCCATATATACT